CGGCAGGCTTGACAACAAGAAATAGGGTCACAAATAAATGGGTGTGAATATGTGTTAAAAGCGTTTGTTGAGAATGCATAGAGCAAGTGTGAATAGGAGGTTCCTGTACAGGGGGATGCAGACACTTGCAAGGGTATGTGCGGAGAGAAATAAGACAAGTACTTTCAGTTACCATAGGAACACCTTGAACCAGATTAGGTTGCTTACACAATTCCACTTTCATAATCCTAATTGTTTTTGGTTTCGCATTTCGAGGATATTGGGACAAGCTATAGAATCGAAAACTTGGCCGATATATAGAATGGAATAACTTGAGACAGAAAATTACGTCTGTCTTTGACAGCCTGATCTTGTGTTACTCACCTAGAGATACTATGAATTGCGGAAGATGAGAAGATTGAATTTACATGTTGACCATGGTTACTCACAATAGTTTTTTTTCTGTGTACATCATTGGCCACGATACTGGGTGCCAACGGGCAGGTATGCGTGGTATTTGTCTGTTCTGTCGTGAGCGATTTGATGCCATCATATCGACCAAAGGATCACTAATTGTAGCCAATGCACGTCATTATATCTCATTAATGCTTGATAGTGGACTCAGAAGTGGGCATTGTGTTGAATCCAGCGATGATCACATACTGAAATGTATCGACCTGTATGGACCGTAAAACGAAGCCTGCCGACTGCGGCACAGTACACCAATCCCTTTGGTGAAAGGCAAATATCCTGACGTTGCCTACAGTCAACAGGTTGACTCCTGTATGTACGGGAGAGAAATGTTTTTGTGTGGACAGTGACTCTTTCTCAACCTGCGTCTCATCCACTTGTCCTTCCTCCTCTTTTATACCTAAGGTTCATCCAATAAGAATGACACTTGCCTTCGTTGGTCGCTCTATCTCTCTAATATCGATTACCCATAGAATTTGAACACCGTATAGATTATCACTTCCAGACCTTTACACTTTCACTCGGGCGGCCGTCCACAGTCCAACTCGTCAAGACATTGATTCACTCAGTTAGTTGGTGTGATCGAATGGTTTTTGTTCTATCTCGGTTCAGTTCGGTTCGATTCGATCTACGTCAGGCTGACCCAACTCAAGTGTGCTATTGACGCCAGTTCGTTTGTGAAACCCTGTGTATAGATTAAGCCTGTAAGTGTACTGTGTATGTGTGCTTGGGGGTTTGTGACAAGCACATCTTCGTGCGTACGTGCGGTCCTTGATGAGTGCGTACGTACTTGGTGTATCTACCACCCCCACCCCCCATTCTCCTCGATCCTGGTTGTGTGCAAGAGTGTACGTGTGTAGGCATGTGTATGTGACCACATGTATGAGAGCGATAATGTTGATACTGATATGGATCTGAATGACGGTGATGACGATGGCGATGACTGGTGATGGTATGGTGGGTTCTGAACATGACGAATGTTTCCGTGTGTCGTGGCGACCTTGTGTGCACATGGACCGTGCATGCATACTTTTGTGTGTTTGTGTTAGCGTGTGTCCCAGTATCTATTTCATTGGCTAGACCTACAGCCACGTGAAGAGACAAATATCACAATGGACGAATCCTGTGTTGGTGTCGAGTGTACATCCTATTTGTTGTTATTACCGTTGTTGTTGTTGTTGTTGTTGTTGTGATGATGTGGCGGACTTCGTTCTCTGCTTTTCCAATAGACGAAAGTAAACAAATGGTCCCCTATGTGCTGTCAGCGGAGACTTCATCACTTTCATTATCGCCGTCATCCTCCTCCTTGTAATCGTCGTCATTATAATCGGCATCGTCAGTCAGACTGCCACACTCGCTTACTGCAATCCCATGATTCTGACTTGAAGTTTCTTCGTTACGCCATTGAAACATCCATTAGACAAACAATTCCACAACATGAATGTGACACTGTCGACACTCATACCGGTACTTCCTTGCTCTCCGAATGTGCTGGTGCTGCTGTTGATGATGGCGACGGTGACGGTGATGATGGTCCGAGCTAAAACATGCGTGCGTCCACGTGCATGTATATAAATATGTTTGTGCTTAGGGAGGTGGAGTATGAGTGAGTGGATGTATCTGGTCCTCTCGTTGTTTGTGAATATACGTTGTTGGGTTCTTGAGGGTAGCGTGTGCATCGAATGGCCGTTAAAATTTGTTGATGTTCGANTCAATAACGTCGGCGTCTCTTTTGGTCCGAGTCATGTATGCGTGTTTGATGTGTACGTGCCTTATATTTATGTATGTATATGCATAGTTGTATAAACGCGCATTTGTGTGTGTGCGCGCCCATAGATTTTGTTGTTGTGCCAGTTCAAGTTCGGTAACAATCTTGATTCGCCAGCAATGATCGACTTACGAATGTATCCGTGCATATTTTATTGGACCTCGTAGTCACCCGTCAGTCGGTTACTCATAATCACAGATAGTACTGTTTTATTCCATATTCCGGTATTAACTTTTCAATCATTTCACTTTACTGAACTGGAAATTTGAATACATGGAGATCAATTTAAAAGCTATGGTAAACTATGCAGTCATTTATAACTAAATGATTTCATCATTGATCGGCGTATAAAAGTCGCCGAGCCTAGCAATATTCATTCATTATTATCAGGGCACTACTACATGCACGTTACTCGGTGTTTCAATGGAACTTGTCTTTGATAACGCATACACAATTTTTTCGTTGTCTATGCTTTTGTTTTTACAAAAAATGCAGTCATGCTTTTTAATATGTAACCAGTAACCACTGTGAAACAAACGGAATGAAATGGCCCGCTAAAATTTGTGGCATCCTCGTGGACTACCTCAGGTTTCGGATGATCGTCTACATAACGGGCACGGCCAGTATTTTTATGTTTGTTCGTGGTTCATTTTCTCCTTTGATATGGATACTCCCCACGGTTATGCTTGCACGCGATGCCACTCAACTAAAGAGCTCATTGTATCAGTCGTATCCGTATGTGTTACTGTACGCATGATTGTCTAAACGGTCACAATTGATAAGCTCTTGTATGATCCACTATGACTTCCACAGTATTTCTCCAAGAAAAGACCGGTTGATGCGGTGAATAAATCGAGCACGTTTTCACTGCTATTGGCTGATGCAGAATATCACATAGACGTGCATGTGTTTGTGTATTTGTGTATAGCTACTTCAATTCCCAAGCAGCCCTTATTTCTTTGGTCCGCTACCACACGGCATATACAAAGTGCGAAGGTTAGTGATGTCCAGTAGTTGAGGTTCTTGTACATTTCCTATGAAAGATATTAATCAGTGCAAATGGACNATGAAACCTAACCCGACTTTCGCATCATCATCATCTCTCCCCTCTCGATGTTTTATGGGTAGAGTGACGTAATGCACATCATTGGGCCAGACCGAAACAGGACTGCATAGCTCAATCGAACTGATCAAACGAACCAGTGCTATAACCGTTTGTGGCATGGTTAAATAGATTAATCGAACTAATTAATCATCGATGGTTAGTGAAATATCATCAAACTATCGATTATAAGTATCTACGACTTGAGAAAGTTTTGAATAAGAAGCAGTCAAAAGAGAATATATGTACTTGGCATTGTAGCAAATCAAGGAGAACAACCACGGTCTTCTGTAAATGTCAATTGTAAATCCTCCATATTGCGTGAAACTAGCTCTTAATAAGCCTTGTTACTGAGCACATCGCGTGCAGCACAAAAACCGTCACACGATTATGCATTCGTTCACCTTCGCTGTTTATTGTATTCTTTTCATTCGTCTGTATCTTTCAAAGTGATAGCAATAATGGTAAAAACAAGTTTTGTCATATTGCTAAATCGATGTCCGGATCGATTTTCTGTACAATGTATTGAATTCTTCTGAGTGTACTTTAATACGGCTTTTTCATTAAAAATTCCATTTCATCCTTTTGCATACATATGTACTCAAACGGCACACATTTATGTGCAAAACTTATGCCTCATTCCTGATATGTGAAATATAACGAAATAATTGTTTGTCACGAAAAAGGTTTGACTAGAATCGTCCAAACTCCGTTGAGGTTTTACAGCTACATTCAGCCGTTGGTGTTTCGTACCCTGGCACAGCAATTGGCCTTAAGTGATCGTTTGTTACATATAATTTATGTTGTTATTCAAATCAGTCCGCACGATGACGCATTCGTTATCTTCGGATGGTAGTTATCAAAATAAAAGACCTTGTTCATTTACCCAGACCAGAATGATGATAATGTTCCCTGGATTTTCTGTCCACCGTTGTTTTCCCTTATCTCTAGGGTTTCTTTCGTCGTAGCATCCAGAAACAGATTGAATACAAATGCTTACGAGACGGCAAATGTCTAGTGATTCGACTCAATCGCAACCGTTGTCAGTACTGTCGGTTTCGCAAATGCCTCGCTGTCGGTATGTCCAAAGACAGTGTCCGCTACGGTCGTANCCGTCACAACCTACTACTAATGTGATCGATGGCCCTCTTGGTCCGGGTTTATTAAGTCGTGCAGCCGACACCGGCGGTCATGGTTCCGCGTTCATGCCTGCCGCTGCCTTGGGTTCTACTGCGGCTCAGGCTGCAGTAGCCGCGATGCATGCTGGTGCTTCACGGCCCGGAGTTTGTCCTCGTCCGAACTCTGATCAACTCGGCCTGTATGAGATCATTGTGACAATTAATCAGGCCTATCAGAATTTTTCACCTTATACGGAAGACAAAATAAAACAAATGCGTCTGCGTCCGATCAGTTTGGTAAGTCATGAGAACCGAGTTTGGGGTCGCATATTGGATGGCGGAAAATGTGCACAGTTATTGATTAATTCTTGTGATCAATTTTCTATACTACTATTCAGTGAAATGCAATGAATTTCTTTGCCGTGTGTGCCGTATGTGCCACCTAAAACTGCACGGGGCACTTTGAGTACTTTATATGCAAGTCTTTTTTCACTCTCGTTCTGTCCATATAACACATTCGTTCGAATAGACTACCTAGGCATGCATTCTTTTTTCTTTGATATAAATATATTCATAAATTTCACACCTATAACACAGGATAGCGAATAACGGGCACATGCTTTTTTTTATCAATTTGGTAGGAAAATTTCATCGTGTAACCGAATTCGTATCACTTACCATCACGATACCCAAACTATAAACTTTCGATTATCGGTGTTTACGCAGTTTAGCCCATGTTGGATGGAGCGAACGGGTTAGTAACGTGGAGGTAAGCCGTGTGTGTTTGGCAGTCTGTCAGGTATAAACCTGCTGGCACACCGAATTCAGATTACTAGTCTTCGCTGGCTAGGGCACGTATTGCGTATGCCCAGCCATCATCTGCCGCAGCGCGCTTTATTCGCTGTAGCTATCCGGGCTGGAGGATACCACGTGGAGGTCATCAGATGACGTGGAGACGAGGCATGAATAAATGCACAGAACCATTAGGTAGAGTAGGTTTCTCTCGCCTTCCAGGTTGGGGTCCGAAACACACCACAACTGCTTGGTTGGAGACCTTGAAGGATATGGCAACGAACCGGCAGCAGTGGCTTTCTTGTCGTTTCTTATCAGGTCAGAATGCTTGAAACGGTATGTATGCAGAGTTCGATTGTGTACTCTGTGTTGACCATAGTGGCTCATCTTCTTCTCCCACCCTCAAAATAGATCCAATTCCTGTCCACCTTAAACTTTACCACTAAACCTGTATGCATTGTGAGTTTGGCAGCGGTCAGTGAAGTTCGCTTCACTGTATTTCGTTATACGATGATACCCAAACTGATCGCATGTCGATCGATCGGTGCATCATACACCAACCACTAGTTGTGCACTCGTGCAAATTAATTTATCATTTGACCAGGTAGAGAAAAACGATTCAAAGTGAACGAGTTTTTGTGGTGGTTTGATAGGGTTGGTTGGGAGTGGCGATAGACCTGGATTATTTCCTTCTCTCACTCTCTCCTCCGTTCGCTCGAATCGCGTCGTTCAACATCATTGCCGTCGGTCATCACCCTTTGTGATATTCATCTGCCTGATGATCTTGGATGTAGGGTTGAAATCTGCACCAACACACACATACACGCTGTGGGTGTGTGCGAGAGGGAGAGAGAACAACAATGTACATTTGACAGCCAACCAACGGTGCCACTCCCATTACCACCACCACCACCAATGGCAACGAATAACATCGGCAACAACCCCCTTACTCCCTTACCAACACTCCTCTTACTCCTCCTCTCCCATCCACTCCTCACCTGTACCGCGTTATCTGTAGTTCGAGTTGTGCATGACGTTCTGTTGTTATGTTCCGTTCTTATTTGTTTTTTTATCGTACTATCCTGGAACATGTATGAACACGGGTACAGAAAAGTAAACAGAGTGATGATATGACGTCACTATTGTATTTGCCGAGCGAATGTAATTGTTTTCTCATTCTTGATCCGCATGTACAAACATTTCTGTCGTACCGTTCCTATATGTACTCGATTGAATGTATGCGAACTGTTTGGTTATCCGCTTCAGCCTGTATTGTTTACCAAGCTCGGCTGATGAATAAGTGCAGTGATGAAATGGGTTGTTCAGCTGTGATAAGTGACGAAAATTAAGTGATGTGCAAGACAAGAAATACCTTTTGAGGTTCTCATATTCGCTTGTTTAAAACACAGGTTTAGACGGACCGGATCTCGACTGTTCAGTGCTAAACTGACAATTTTCATTCACATTCTGTTGTTCCGATGCAGCCAGAGCCATTTATACGATGGGAAAGGAGGAATAGTATGGCCTACATTTGAATAGTCAATAGACTAATCTGGTTTCCTTTGTCGTACCCAACCATTTTCTGTTTATTTGCATTAGTTTTCCTATGTATCCATACTGGTACATCACAGTTGTACCACAGTTTTACCCTAAATAACTCGAGTACCGTGCCATATAGCTATTCACTCCACTGAATTACTGTATTTCATGTATATTGCACCGTTTCGTTCCATTACTATGAAGTCTGAAGTTTATACTGGATATAAAGATAATACGTGTGCATATATAATCGTATATTCCTACAACGGCAGAATGTTCTTTGGATTTTATACCTGGTTCCGCGCTCCTCCACTGGCTAATTATGTGGTTGGCCAACTGACACTGGAATGGTTCTCTTGGTGCACAGAGTTTTTACCCATTTCTGTGTTACATATCGTCTTCGGTCTTCGTCTAGTTCGCCATATCCCCACATAGATGCACACGGACAGTGCTTTTGTTCACCGTTTCACCAAGCCACCCGATAGAATCTTTTTTCCTTCTTGAGTGTTGTACGCGCACTACTGCACATGGCCAGACGCACCACGTACCTGCGCGCGCGGACGCGCGCGCGCTATGCACGCCTCTTTCACGCGAACGCATGCTTGCGTGTCCTTGCTTGACCCCAGAATGACCTTGCGCCAAAATACACACCGACACATATGCTAGCATACAGACGCGGCGTACATTCCCCATCGTTCATGCTTCATTCTATCATTTCCTAAAGGGGTCGACGTGATGGTGGGGGGTTAGTTAGCATGAGGCACGTGCGCATGCGTCTCATCTATCTTTCCCTTTCTCTCTCTTTCTGCTGGGGACGCTGACAACTACTCCTCAGTCCACGTGGCTTGGCTATCCCGATTAAGCCTGTGATTGGCCGGTTGACTGGCTGAATAGCTGGCAGGCGGTCAGGCAACCAGTCAGCCACCTAGCCAAGCGTTGTCCTTGCAGACTGCCTCGTAGAACGAAACTTGCTTGCTTGCATGCTTGCCTCCCTGCCCGTGTGGTTGACTAGCAAGCTGACAGATTCGGTTGTATCCAGTTGGTTTTCCTGTTTGTTTGAATTAGGCTTAACCGACTGGTTGGTGGTGATGGTGGTAGTCGATCACTCGGGCAATATGCCCATTCACGAGCGAATAGTTAAGGCCAACCTGCGGACTGCTTGCAGAACCTCATGAACTAAAGTGTGCGCACGTGTGCATGTTTGCGTGTTTGTCATGCATATGTATGCCTATATGTGTATTTGGGGTGAAGGGAGTGCGTGTCTGTGGAAAAGGGAGCATGCTTCGAGGGCGAAGGACAGCAGAATAAACGTAACACTAGGATCGATTAATCGATAGCGTGACCTAACCCGGCACGGTCAAACCACCCTTGCGTGGGAATTGTTTCCGGGCTTGGCCTTACTTATTTGTGAGGCGGATAGACCTGATGGTCAAAACTCCCGGTAATATTGGTGGCCGTTCTCCATACTCGTTTGGTATTATGTAATCTTGGCGACTCAAAGAACAGCACACGTTGGCATAGTTCCAGGAAGTTTTCCCCAAACCAGCACACATTCGTGAATAGCGATTGAAAGTTGGCGGTGAATGAAACCTAAAAATGCTGCCTCATACGGTTGTCATAAACAGCAGCGCTTTTGTATTTACTCAGCTCCTCTACATTTTAGTCTACATAAATTTTGTGTCTTCACCGTCTTACTGCTCCCAGCTTTCTACTTCCGTCTGTTTCATCATTGATCGACCAAATAGGTAACTGAAAGACAGCAACCATAACCACCACACGAAAGTGCAAGGTTAATAGTTGTATAAACCGAAAACCGATCAGGGTCATGAAGTCATGTTATCAGAATGAGGTGAACTGCACGTATTTGTGTTTGTGCATTTTTGTGCATGTGCATAATCGTGCGTGTGCGAATGCACATGAATAAAAATAAGCTATATTAACAATTCATGTCCACATATACGTACACACATACTCACACACATTCGATCTATTTCTGTTGTTAGTCGGTAAGATCTTTTCACCCGTGACTCCCAATTGGATTAAAGATCTAACTTGACTGATGTGTTTAGAGGGTGATCCGTCAATGCCCAAAGTGGAGAGTCAGAGTACATTGGAAGTAGGGTGTGGCATCAAGCTGTGTAACTTCAAGCGTTCAAGTTATCTTGCACAATCTTTTGGGGGTCAGGTTTCGTAGTTGCTCGATATATACATTGCACATATACATGTGCATATAGATGTGTATTTGGCAATAGATGCACCGACGCATGTGCACACCGTTTTAGGAAAGTGTGCACCGGTTCATCTTTGGATGACGATATTGAACATAGTGGGAATGAGTGAACGTTACAATCAAGTGACGCATTCTGGTGGTACCGTACCCGCCTCCCCTCTGTTTGAACTGGTCGATCGAACTTACTTCTTTGTCATCTCTTTTTCGAAACTGTAATCGCTCGTGTGAACTACTAGCGTTTTGTCTTGGCCTAGTATACTCCTAATGGACCGATCGATATAATTTGATTTGTCTATGAATAATTCCGTGCATAATATATCAGTGCCTTCGGATGGAAATTGATAAACGCGAAAGTCCAGACACAATTGCACAATACGTTTCAAAGCCTGTTAAGCTGTTACCCTGTGACGCATTTTTGTTCTGGACCAAATTGGGTATCGTTCACACCCTAATCATCATCGCTCACTGTCCGTCTTACGTGCATCTTTGCACCTCCGTGCCAGTTGTGTAATAGTATTCTTGATCCCGTTATTTCCTTTATCACGATCCGCTAATCTTCGGTAATATCGCATTAACCCTTTTCACCTCATCTATTACATACCCTGTGCTTATCTGTCGGCATCCAACCCGCTATAGAGTTTGCATGTTGCTGACGAAACAAACTGCGCCAGAATCGAGTAGTTTGAAGCGAACCCATTTTCAATGACTTATTTTCAGGAATAATCCACGCACATAGTCATTGCCGGCTCTCACGACTGGGTATTTGTCCAAATGTACTCGGGATCACAATTGTTTTATTGGGCATTGAATCGGGCTAGTGAGTCACATGTGCGGCAGTCTCGCGCCTCAG